GAAATCGGATTCCTAAGATGGGTGGGGCACGAGTGGGAGTGGCCAAAAACCTCTTATCGTACGTCTTGTGAAAGGCATCTGGTAACGTGGTAATGTCCTTGTAATGTGGTTCATGGGAAACCACTGCACAGTGGAAGTAACGAGTTGCACCTCATGCTACTGCTGTTATCTTTGACAGAGAATTTGACCGAACGCGATGTGCTTCATCCTAGCGCGTTATTAGGAGATTGGAGCACATGCAGTACTAAAAAACCTTTCGAATAAGGAGGAGCTCGCACTTCCTGAGAACAATTTTAACCCAGTTATTTCATTTTGAACGTTTCATTTCTATTAATAAGCAGAAAGAATAAGTGGCAGGAGAACTCTGCCCTGATATTTATTCAGGTGGAAAATCCGGCTCAACAGCAGTTTTCATTTCTTAAGGGGACCGGGCTCAAAAAGTGGGTTGTAGATATTGCATGCGCCATCACATACTTCTGGCACCTATTGCCCCTCACCTCTCCTGGTCAGGCTTTGCACGGACTCCTAGCTAATCGTGGCACGGGTGGTTGGCTAAACCTACTTCTATCTAGGTAATGAATCACCAGCGGGCGAATACACACCTGGTTTGGGAGTTACGCTCGAATTTTGATGTTATTCTGTTCTTCTGGTGCGATAGCTTTAGATGGCATGAGAAAATGAATGAAAACTCTGGAGATGGCTATTTAACCTGTTGGACGACCTATTCTATCGAAAAGCTACTTGCGAGCATGTCCGTGGCATATCCTCGGTTGATGCTTTAACACACATTCCGCGCTCGCAGTATGGGTGGAGTCAGCACCATTGGATCTTCCTCTTTGATGCACCCCTTCGTTCTAGAAGATTAAAGGGGGAAGGTATGCCTGTGATAAAAGCACAATGGTAGGCCAGGCTCTGCACACACAACCTCCTGGGATGTATTCTTATCTTGAGTACAGCGCGACACCATTTCTACTGACCTATTTTCCCAAAAACCATTAAGACCATTTCTACTAGTCGGGCTCTGCAAAGTTATTGGTAACTTTCAGGTATCTGAGGACTGCCACTATGTCATTGGTCCGTATCCTGGTTCGGCAAATATATTGATTGGTGGATGTGGATCAGGAAGTGGTTTCAAGGTACTGTAACCTTTGAGAAGGCATAAATCTCTCTACAGTTTTGAGCGCATCGCGAATGTATGGTCCCTATTTGAGGTTGCACCTTGCATCGGCAAAGTTCTTGCTGAAATGGCAGCAGGAAAAGAAACTCTCTGTCGACGTCTCGTTCTTCTCGTTTGATCGATTTTTGAAGAAATGAGATAAAAGAGATCTTCTACTTGCAAGTTATTGTGATGAAGTGAGGCCTTTCAGATTGCAATAAATATTCATTTTGTGAAAAGTTGCATTGTTTTGGTCTGTGAATGAACGCACTTACACTCCTTATCCCTGAGACAGAGTGGGCGTGGCATTTGAACATGGCATAGGAATGGGTCGCTTGTGGGATATTTCAGTTCGAGACAACTGTCATCTTGTTCACTGTTGGACAGAGACACGACCACAACTGTGTCAAAATGAAAATATCTCACCAAAAGCACAACCACCGCGCGTTTAGTTGAAGTACGCGGCAACGCCCATCACATCTCAGGGATTTCGAGCGTAGTCCAAAGGTTTCGAGAAAGTTCATTCCCAACTTTTCGGAACCCTAGGACAACTTTAAAATCACAGTTGCTCGACTCTTGCTTCACAAAATAGCCAGGCGGGTCGAACCCAGGGACACCCCTCAGCTCCTTGCATTTCACTCCTTTAGAAAATGCGTATGAATCTGCAGAAAGCGAGGCTGCGCGCGATCCCCGGTCGCCTGCACTCTGCTAAGCCCAGGCTTTGGATCAAGGGACACCTAGTCCGCGCTCTCGCAAGGATCCATCAACGATAGCAGCGTCGAGATACAGGTATTTGAAAGGCGCTGCCCGCGATCAGCTGACAAGGCCCGCAGAGGCAGCGACTGCGCCATTTTTGCGTGTCGCAATTAGGTGAGGGAAGAGAGCTGAGAACTTGTCGTTTCTCTCATTGGCCCAACCCCTCTTTCTATTTGACCTCGAAGCGGCCCCCGCGCGATCACTCGCTCTTATGCTCTTCTTTGCTCGACGCGTGTGCTCGCAAGAGTGGGTTTATTAAGGGGCATTTGCGAAAATTTTTTTCTGCATCAGCGCGGACCTTATTGGTAATATCTTGGCACAGCTAGTTTAAGTCATCCCTACCAGAATATACTGATGGCGTACGCTTGTCCCTCAGAAAGGAGTTGCGCAACGAATAAATCACGCGTGCAAGACGGGGAACTAGAATCAATACTTCACCGGCAGGATAAGAATTCGCGCCTCGGGCCAGGCAGTTGTATAGTGATTTCCCCAGAAAGGTGCCCGCTGTAAGGGTCCTATCAGCACAAACATATGTCTCCGAACCGCCCGCTCCCACCGCCCGTCGCGCCACAAGATGGGACGAAACCGTTCTGACGCTCGTATTCATACATTTGCAGCTTTTCTTTGGGGCAGGTTTTGACCTTTTCACTCCGTTCTTTCGCCATTTCCCCACTATATAGCGCCCTACTAGCATTTTAGGCCGAGTAGGAAACCATCGTGCCAACTGCCTTTAAGAATGAGACATATCAAATCGAAACGGAATAGAGCGCAACTCGCAGGTAAGCGTGAGGTGTGGAATCAAGTTCCGCTTGGCGCCAAGAGTTTTGCTCCTGATTCAGCATTTTTGTGGTATCACGTGCGCTGCATTCGAAACCAAGAATCCCTTTGATGCCAGTCCGAATCCAGCTTGTAATGTCCGAAAAAACGGACGCAAGAACCCTGTCCTAGATGGAATCGGCAGATGTTCAGCCTGTCCAGTGATCAGACCTTTTTCCTTGACCGTTCTGAGCTCGAGGATTCAGAGCTTAACATTTCTTCACGATCACTTATGTGCATACACAACTACATGAGACATATGATTTTATTAAACCGATATTCCACCGAGATTTTACGCCTGAAATACGGTTAACACGTTCTTAGTAGCACATGAGACAGTCGTTATATCTGGACTATAACAGCGAGTGAGAATGGGAGCGGAGTACAACTAATAACGGCTCTGGGACAATTCATATGTCGGTCTGAAAACACAAAAACAAATAAATGTTAATATGATATATATGATACATCAAATAATGAAATTGAAGACCAAGAATAAAATCTCCACGTATGTGTTTTACATTCAGTACCAAAGAGAACTATGACAATATCTGCAGTTTTCACAGGTAGATGACAGTACAATACAAAAATAATAATAATAAAAATGAACACACACACACAACTAGAACACTTGTGACGATCACAACTCTTGAGGCAATTGATCCTTTTCAACAAATACCCAAGCGTGGGGAACACTAACAGCTATGATACACATACATCAGAAAATATATGTGATTAACATAGCTCCTTTAAAAAAAACACACCCCATTATGGCGATTGGTGACATACATACGCACGAACGCACATCTGCGCGCGTACAAATGTGATGCGTGCGTGTCGCGTTTTGTCGCGCATGTATGACCCCACCTCAAATTCACCATGGTGAACACCCGCTTTCGAACGATCGTCGACGGCCAATCGATCGAGTTTAACACGCCGTTTTCTTTTGGAGGAAGCGGTTGAAAAGTGTAGTTGAGTAGGTTACAGTAAAACAATATCGTAAGAAAGTCCATGGCAGCAACAGCAGCAGCGTTAGTAGCGATAGCAGTACTATTAACAACAACAGAGCAGTACCAATGACAACTCTACTAGTATCTTTAGCATGTTTGGGCATAAGGTTTACACGTAAGTACCGCTGGTGTCAGGGTGCCACCCCAGCTACCGCTTTTAGACGACGGAACACGACTCCACCGCTGGGATGTCGCACCACTGGCATCGTCTCCACGGCCTGATGAGGTGACGTGAGATGGACGGATCTAAAACCGTGCAGTAAAATATCAAGAGTAAAATAAAAGGAAATTGGAGCATAATTCGCAAATCAGACGTGAAAAGGTAATTTGGAGAAGTAGGTTCAAAGCGAACCACATCCGCAGATAAAGGTAGTTGGGGAGGGAAGAGCGGCGCGACCACACCCCGTGATATCTGCCTTGACATGATGCTGTATTGTTACGCCACCCTAGATCGTTTTCGCTGCAGACGCTAGGGCATGTCAATAGGCTGGGCTAGGACGCCCGCGCGAGCTTCCCTGGCGGAAAACCAGCTGGCACAGCACCAAACAATCCCCTCCCCACTGACACGCCTCAGCATTACGGCGAAGAACGACTAGACTAGCCATTTCGATTCTTGTAACGAAAATACACCAGGAACCACAGCCAAAACTTTACTTTCAAGTGCTTCCACCGGCGAAATACTCTTTCGGCGGGCGGATGCCTCGGTGAGGAACTACTGCCCCACCCCTCCAACGCCCTTAATTCCGGACGCCATTCCGGTGAGAGGAGCAGAGAAGCAAACATGACGTAGCATGGCCGCGCCGCCACGCCTCGCTTCAACCAGTTTTGTCCCCTTTTCTAATATACCGAGTAATTCTTATAGTTAATAAATGTTAGCGCTCCCTGTTAAAAGTAAGAGGCTCTCTGTTTGAACCCATGATTCAACTAAAAGCAACTGCATAAAAGTGTACAAATAGTATTACACCAACCGTTTGTACCATGTTGTTGATCAATTGTTGATCTTTACTGTCGAGTAGGGCGAAGGTTTTACTTAGTTTTGACAAATGAGCCATCACCAGAGCGCACTGCGGCCGCAGTTCAAGTTGACCTGAAAGAAACATATTGTTAAATAAATTGTGTATAATGAGAAATACTTGATCAAAGTAACGATTACTAGAGTGCGTAGCGTTACTTTCGAATCGCGCACACTAACAAAGCATTTCCTAGCTAGTTGTCTAGGCACACAGGCACAGAGAGAGCCAGTCGACATGAGAGACGCAGACGCAGACAGTCGACCCGCCGCAGCGCTGCCACTTTGAGTGGATTGGGTCCTGGTGCGAATGCTGCGTACGTCACACCGCTTGGGACGCCTATTTGTCGCCTCGCCCGCGACTTACAAGGGAACCCCAACAGGTCGATCCGGCCATTTGCAATGAGATGTAGGTATATGGACGTATCTCGAGCCGCTGAATCCAAATCTACTCTCCGTTTTTGCGGAACGATTCTCTGAACGGAGTTACGGACCATCAAATCTTTGCTCGTTGTATAAGTTGAGAGGGATGGTTGCTCACGGCAGGTCGCCGATGGCCTAGTGGATAAGTGCACTGATTCAGGAACACGATGTCGCATGTTGGAATCCTTGACACTCCGAACATTTTTGCTTTTGTTCAGAACATTCCATATGAGTCCCCAGAACACTTCTGTTTGGCCAGTTGACCTGAATCTCTGATTATTTGACAATAGAAGCGATCATTGCTCCATCTGTTACACCTTCTGAAAACTTGAATGAGAACTCCAATGAGAATGACCGTTTCTAGAGCTCGCATCGAGGAATGGAGAAGGTCGCCACTACTACTAGGGAAGGTCGTCAGGTCCAAGTGGCCATTCGTAATGAAATATAGTTCACTAGACGTGGTTTTGGACGCTGATCTCGAATCTGCCTTCGAAATTTGCAGAACGATTCTCTGAACGGAGTTGCATTTAAATTCTGTGGGGAATGTCTCTTTTAAGTCTAGAATGCAAAACGTCAAATGGGTGCCATATTCGTGTTCAGGGAGCAAAATTACCCTTGGGGACAGGTTTCTAGCCAGATATGAGGTCTTGACCTATCTTCAAAAGTCCGGTAGCAGTTGATCCGATGGTGGTCACCAATAGTTCCAGGGCCAGTCTCTTGTCGATTGCTTGTCTTTGGACGGAATTTGCTTTAGATACCAGGAAAACTGGAGCAGTAACAAAATGAATGCGTAAGAAGGTGCAAGACAAGGCGTTGTGCAGGCAAATGTATCTGCAGCTGAATAGGTGTGAACATCAGCTGAACTAACCCATGGATGGTTCAATTATGGAAATCAGGTCAAAATGCCAGATTTGGCTAGCAACTTGTGTATAAAGGTATTTTGACCCGCTGAACACGAATATGGCACTCGCTGAGCGTGAAAACGCCTGTATCGCGCACGACGGGCACCTGTACACCCCAATATTTTCCTGCACTACAAGGCTTCTACAAGGTGCCTAGGCGCATTCATAAATGGACGCAAAGTTTTCTTCAGGCAAGATTAGGTGAGCACTGAAGTAGTAGTGAAAGCAAAACCACTTTTGCC